GCCTTCGGGAGCCGGCGCCCCGCCTCTGCCCGTTACGGGTCGTCCTCGGCGCTGCCTGAAAGGCCGAACGGAATTTAGAAGGTGGCTTGACCTCGGTCAAATCCTGTCATCGGGTCTGGATTTAGGCTTGTTTACGTGACCGGCGGCTATGTCGCCAAGGGCGCGGAGGTGACAGACCAGTGGCTCCCTGGCGTTCTGGCTCCGCTCAGGGCGACCCTCTCAGGGGCCTCCTGCACAGGGCCCGCTTCTGTCAAAATGGCAGCGCCCAGCGTGCACGGGTGCCTCTGAGGAGGGGATTCAGGTCCTTGTCCCTGACAGCGGGCCCGGGTGTCCCGGGTGAGTGGCGGGTGAGTTTGCTAATGGCCGTGTTATTCCAACCCACCTCCATTCTGTGAATATGCTTTGACTTTGGATCAATTCCCCAGAGGTTTAGAAGTATCTGAAAATATCGGGCAACCCGGGCTGTAGCCGTCGGTGGTTCTTTGGGGACCTTTAGAGCCTCCAGTTTAGGGACTCTGTTCGGATCTTTTCAGACCCAAGGAAAGAAGCTGAGCAAGTTTTCTCCGTGGCCTTTCTCAGAAGACTTCAACTTTTCCAAATGACTGTTAAAGTGGTGGATGAAGTTGTTCGTCCTGGTCCTTAAACACGGGACTGGGCGCAGGGAAGCCTCAGCTGGTTCTAGTTACTGAGTTTGCAAAGCGCGCCCCTTCTTTTTGCAGTCTTGCAGTTAATCTAATCCACGTTGGGAAGAGCCGCAGCTTTCTGTCCACACAGCGAGGAATAACTGCTTATGCAAAAACACGTTTGCATGAATCCACCTTTCTGCTGCCACGCAGTTGTGTCCTCATCTGTTTTAGTATGTCTGCTTTTGAAACATTTGACGTTTGTCGAAGCAAATTTGTGTTTTCAGGAACTTCAAGAGTAGGAAATAACTTCTTTGACCTTTCCCTGTGTTAGTGTACTTGGAATCAGGTGTGCTTGCATCCAAATAGCCTTATATGCCATGATGCTGTTGCATTTTTAGAAAGCATTGAAGGGGGACCAGCAGTTAGCGTAATGGCAATGTCGCTAGACTCCCATGTAGTCAGCCACGGTTCGAGTCCCGGACGCTATGACTTACATTCACTCCAAGTGAGAATGGAGGAGAAGGGATTGTGGCGTGGCTATCCCTCCCAGGGTGGTGATTTCTCGCTTTCTGTCTCTCTGACCCTGTCTTTTCGGTGAGCCCACGTCCTATAACAAAAACTTCTAAAAAAAAAACCAAAAAAAAAAAAAAAAAGGCATTGAAGAGAAAACACTTGCATTAAAAGCCTTTTTTAAAAAAGAATTTTTAATTTTATTTATCTTTTTAAAAAAATTTGACTAGAGAGAGAAAGAGAAAGTGAGAAAGCAAGCTCTTTTTTAAAAGAATTATCTATTTATTTACATTATTTGTTTATTATTATTTTAATTTGATCAGAGAGAGAGAAAGGGAAAGTGAGAAAGGAAGCCGCCAGGTCTGCGACTTGAACCACGGCTGGCTATGTGGGAAGTCTAGCTGTTTAACTAATATACAGCCTGTTGGTCCCCTTCTTTTATTTTACATTTCATAAATCTTATGTCTCACAATGGTTTTTTTCTTTTACAAGCAGCAGAATTTCTGTCACTTGCCATTTCATCAAGTCAGCTGACGAATTTTGCCTTAGGGCTTTTTAATATTTTGAGCTTTTCTTTTGGCATTTTTTTTTGGGTGGGGGGAGAGGTTTTTGCTATAGGATGCATGCACTTGCCAGAAAGACAGAAAGCAAGAAATCACCCCCTAGGGGGGATGGCCACGCCACAATTCCTTCTCCTCCTTTCTCCTCTTGGGATCTTAGGCATGCACGCACACGTGCCCGGCATGAGTTTAAGTCACCAGGTGCGGGACTCGAACTGCGGTCAACTACATGGGAGTCCAGGGACATAGCCATTACGCTAACTGCTGGTCCCATCTTCTGGCATTTCTTAAACGATTTAAGACCAAGGGAATTACAGAGTTAGATCCAGAGCAGTTTTCTTTAACACACACACTGTTGAGTGACGTTATAAAATGTTATGTGACACTTGGGAAAGCTACAGTCTAAATGCAAGTTACAGAAAAAGCAAGCTCTCTGAGAAGGTAGAGCATGAAAATGATTTTACTTAGATTATTTTATTTTGTTTTCATGTTTAAAGTTAGGGTAGTTATTGTACAGAGTTGTTTATGCCTAAGTAGCAAAGGTTTAAGCATGTATAATGAATGTGTCTAAATGACTTGCCTTTGTTGAAATCAAATAAAGCTTCCCATGTAAATAAATACATAAGGTGTAAATGCGTTGTTTGGTACCCTTGTCATTTGTTAGAACAAGGAAAGATTTAGGCTAGGAAAGTCGATCTTGTCCTATTTAACTCCAAGCTAAGTCTTTACAAATATACTATATTATTTCATTTCAGATGATTTACTAGTGTGTTGTAGATCATTGCATAGACAAACTAATAAATAAATCCTGTTATGAAGCTAAATCTCCATTTTATACCTATTCATTGCAAAGATTCTTTCTTTCTTTCTTTCTTTTTTTTTTAAAGAATTACTGTATTTGAGTTTGTAAATAGAATTGGGCCAGAAGCTGGGAATAGACTTTACTGTTATGTCTTTTTTTTTTTTTTTTTGTAGACTTTTGTCATGGAGTGTGTGCACTTGCTGGAGGGAGAGGGAGAAAGAGAAAGAAAGTGAGAAATCACCCCCCGGGGGGATGGACATGTTGCAGTCCCTATTTCATTCTCTCTTTGGGCATGCACACACACTTGTTGAGAGTGAGTTTCAAGCTTCTGGGCCTGGGACTCGAACCACCATCCTCTGTATGGGATTCCAGTAACATATACCACTACACCAGTCTCATGGTCCGCTCTTAAATTATGCATTCTACTTGGGGCTAAGAATTCTCTTAGATAATATCTGTGAACTAGGGTGTGCCTACCTACTACCTCTTTGGCCTCAAAATGTAAATATTAATATTCACTTAGTTATCAACTTCCATCCTATAGTTCTTCCACTATGTAATGTATTACCTTGTATTAAAATTAGTTTTCAATGAGCACTGTGAAGCGAAATTTCTCTAATGATAATAAGTATAACAGCAATGTGCTATTCTTAAGCTTAAATATCAAAATGATTTGTAGACTGGCCCTGTAGTGCACTGGTTAAGCCCATGCACCAGGGGCCAGATTCCATTTGTCTGACTGAATCCTAGCCTCAGTAACTTGAAAAGCACACCCGATAGGACCAGTAGATGGCGTAATGGTTATGTTGCTGGACTCCCGGTTAGTCAACAGCAATTCGAGTCCTGGAAGCTGGGGGCTTAAAACTCATGCCAGACACCTGTGCATGTGTGCTCAAAAGCCCAAGAGGAGAATGGAGAAGAAGGGATTGTGGCGTGCCCATTCCCCGGGGGGGCGGGATTTCTTGCTTTCTGTCTCTCTGGTGAATATACATGCTCTATAGCAAAAATCTCTCTTAAAAAAACAAAACATTATGGAGATAGAGAAATGGAAGAAAAAAAGGATTGTGGTGTGATCATACCTTGTTGGGGTATATTTTCTCTCTTTCTCTCTTTAGCGAGCACATCTGCTAACAACAACCACAACTGTAAGGAAAATCTTATGTAGAAGAAGCAACTCATGATATTATTCAGAAATTACTCTACTATGAGCTGGCCCACGGCCTGGTTAAGGGAGTTGTATTCTACATGGCAGATCATGCAGTTCAAATCCCAGTCTTGGTGGCTTAAAAAGATGCCAGATTGCATGAGCATGTGTACTCCAAATCCCGATTAAATGGAGAAATGGAGAGGAAGGGAATGTTTTGTAATCATTCCCTGTTGGGGCATGCTTTTTCCTCTCTCCCTCAGCTGAGTGCCTTCTGGCCGAAAAAAAGATTATATACACACACACACACACACACACACACATATATTGTACTCCATACATGGACCTAATTTTTTTTTTTTTATTAATTTGCTCTAGGGTCCATGCACTTGCCAGAGTGGGTGGTTGGGGAGAGAACACTTCCCAGGGGGGACAGTCATGCTGCAGTCCCATCCCCGTTCTCTTCTCATGATTTCGAGGATACACGCACATGTTCCCGGCATGTTTTTCAAGCCACCAGGTCCAGGACTTGAACTGTGCCATCGGCCATGTGGGATTCAGCCATCTGGCCCCAACCTAAATCTTTATTATACATATTTTAAATTTATTTTTCTTGATCCTCCATTTAATACAATATATAGCTTGAAGAGACCTTAGATATCAACTCACTCATTTTTGGACATAAAGAAACTGAAGCTCTTTCTCTCATTTATTCATCAACATTTATTGAGTACTTCATTGGTGCCAGATACAATATGCGACAGAAAGCCTTCTGGGGACAAGGTAAGCAAGTCCATAGTCTATATTTAACAGGTGCTAGGATAGGAATAATATGAAATGCTGGAGAAGTACAGGAGAGAGATATTCAACCAGGACTTTGACTTAAGGAAAAGCTTTCCATCACAGAAAATATTTCCAGAATGAGTAGTGTGAGTGAGATGAAGAATGTGATGAGAGATTGCAATTCAAAGCATGGTGGCACGAGAGGGCACAGTTTATTCAGGGGACTTTGGAGTGGTGGGATGTGGGAAGGGAGGGACTGTCCGTCCATGGAAATGTTTAGCTCTGTACTAGGTTCATTTTAACAATGCTTCCTCACTTTTGGGAATTACTCATTTCTTATGCCTAGACTAAGTCCTGTGTCAGTAGAGTTGTATAACTCAAGGAGAACCTAACAGCTGTTAAAATAGAGGCTAGTTATCCTACTGTTGATAGGGTTTTTCAGATTAGAATTTTGATCTGATATTCAAGAAGCACTGGCATTTCTTTATCTGCATTCCATAGATAGCTGGCCAGCCTGGTCATTCAACTCACTGTTCTTACGGTAGCTTGAGGACTAAAAATGAAACACAGTTCCTGTTTTCCAGAAATGTTTGTTTAAAATGCACTTGTATATAATTACAAAACGGGATAGGAACTACAGAGGGCTCCAAGGAAAGTAATGGTCAAGTGTTGTGGGATTTTGGTGCATGGAAGTGTCTGTCCATTGCTGATGCTGGACCTCACATCTGACCAGTAGTCCACGTGGCTGAGCACACTGCCGGGTTTGAGAAACATTGATCTTAGAAATTAGGGTGCTTGGGACCAGCAGTTAGCGTAATGGCTATGTCGCTGGACTCCCACGTAGTCGACCGTGGTTCGCGTCCCAGACCTGGTGGCTTAAAACTCACGCCGGGCACGTGTGCGTACGTGCCCAAGATCCCAA